CCCTGCATGTTAGCCTGTCCATGTCCATGCACACATTAACTTTTAGCAGCATTTAATGGCAGGAGAGTTTAGAGGCAGGAAAAAACCCACTGCCATTGCATCCAGGAGCAACAGCATTTTAGCAGAAAAAATGCTTGACACTTGTAAATGCATCAAAAGCATCTAAAAGCATATTAACGCTAGGTGTGTTTAGCCCTTGTGCGTTAATTCATTTCAATGACCAGAATAAATTATTAATCTAGCCAATTAATTGAATTAACACCCAAGCATTTGACACCTGTAAACTCTTTTACAAGCGTCAGACGTATTTTTCAGCAAAAATGCTGCTGCCAGGAGGAAAGGATTCTAGGAGAGTTTTTAAAATGTCCTGTATACGAGGCCTAAATTGTGCCAAGCCAGGCCAATGTAACTACAATACAAACCATACCTGGAGTTCAGGTAGGCATGAATGTTTTGTGCTGCAGTTGAATATTGGCAATGCTGTGAAATAATTAATAAAGAGCTTGCATAGAGGAGATATTTCACGTAGAGGAGATTTCTCTTCACTCCTCCCTCTTTTTCTGCCTGACACCCATCACTTGGACACTTGTGTAGAACCCTCCTCAAGGGGACAGAATTTTTTTTTATTACTGCCTGTGTCCACATTGGTGGGATTTCCCATCACTCCCTGTTCTGTCTGACACCCATCAAATAGGAAGCTCTGTGAAATCTCTGAAATTGGGAAAGAGTAATTCAAAGTTGATACAAGTTCTAAGCTTTTCATACCCTATAGAGGAAACAAAAAGCTAGAGTTTTGTTCTAAAATCAAGTTGGCTTTACAGAATTCTGTGGTCATACATAGCTTGAATTTCAGCTGTTTTTCCTGTGAACTGATGGCTGACACAAAAATTGAAATTGAAGGAGCCAGCTGGAGAAAAAGTTGACCAAAAAGTGACTGTATCCAATTAGCTGTAGTCACTGTTCATGTATTCTGAACACAGGAGCAGGCTGTCAAAATACAATACCCAGCAGCAGGAGATTTGTCCATCCATACTCTTTATATGTATAGCCAGCTTAAACCTGAAGATTAGAATATCAAGTTTTGGTTATACAGCACCAAGCACATTAGGTATGTGTGTAGGCAGGTACAGTCTGCTTTCTCCACTGTAGGTGGTGCTTGACCTGAGTGGTACTACAGCCTGGAGAGGAAGTCAAAGCAAACACAATTTCTCTATGATTTCCTGGGTCATTGGAGCAGTGTTCTGGTTGGCTACGCTGCAGCCATGTGACCTTTGGCGGCCATCCTGGGTTACCAGGGTCTATAAAAGCCCCTGCCTCTGGGTATTGGCATGCTTTTCTGCAAGTGGCTACAATAGGGAGAGGAATCCTGTTTGATAGGGAAAGTACTTTGCGGTAAGGAGAGGTTCCAGACAGTAAGGAACCAGTTAGGGACTTGCTATCCTGTAAGGAAGCCTTCCCACTTGGGACTGCACCAGCCAGGCCGTACTCTCCTACCTCTGAGACAGACGCTGTTGGCACCTCGCTTCAGCTGAACTGTGAGTGTTCCCCTAAGCGGAGCTCTCTCGCCGGCTTATTTGTAAACTTTGGCATTCCACTCAATCCAAGTTTATTGCAAACAGACTAGATTAATGCCGCTGCACCTCTCCACATGTGTAACAGTATGTATCACATATCTGTATCTGTTGCAGAGCTTCCCCTTTGTGCCTCCTCCTCAGAGCCAACGGATAGTGTCCTCAGTGGCTGTCTTCCGGCACTAAAAGTTTACTGCATCTTTGACTACGCAGAAAGGTTGCGCCACCCGTCAGCCCCCTTATGCTCTCTATGCATTTTCACTTTCTGTGACTGGGTAGGGAAGATCTGTCATTCTGTTACTCCACCACTCATTCACAGAATGCAATGCATTGTGGGATTTTAGTAATATAAGCTCTGTGAATGGCAGAGAGCAGAAAGAGATGGGCAGGTGGTGTAAGTTTTCCTTGTAGCAGTTGCTCCTGTTAACTCTCACAGTGCCAGAAGACAGCCCGTAAGGACAGTATCCAGCCATTCTAGCACCTGCAGGTAATGGGATACACATTATTACACATTACTAAAATGTATGGTGCTATATATGAAAAAACTAAATTATACTAAACTTCATCTTTAATGATACTGCCGGGGATCCCATGCAAAGGGCTGCCTGTAATTTGACCTGCAGCTCTGTGAGACTTCTACAAGAGACATCAAGCTAATTACAGGAGAATTCTGAGAGATCCTGACATACAAACTTGATTGCAAGCAAGATATAGAAAATAATTATTGTCTGCAGATTGAAATGGAAATGTTATTTTAAAAAACACTGAATTACACAGTGGAATGGACTGTATATCAGTTATATATGCTCTTTAAATTTTAACGAAACTGGAGTTTTCTTTCAAACAGAATGTAATACTTGTCAGGTCAAATGTTGCACATAAAAAGTGTATACAATATATGCTACATATCTTCAAGCAACCCTTAAATATTGTACATTACACTTATGGCACTCAGCCTCTTCCCACTGATCATCGTGATGCATATTATCTTTGAATGGCCTCCCTCAGGCTCCATGAATTAGTTAATACTCTCCAGAACTGGTGCTTTTAAAAAGAGCTACCATCCAGTTGAGGCTTCCTATACATTTTTTACATATGGCATTAGATAAACATAAAAGAATGTACAGAGCCAGGCATTGCAATCCAGTGCTGTCTGTCTGCCTTGCTCAGGGCTGCTGTCAATATCTATTCCTTCGGTCAGCGCAGTTTATTTTGCATGGTTGGTAAACAGGTGTTTATTTTACATTTGGAAAGGTTTAAATGAGAATCTGGCCTTTCTGTCCTAAAATTGCATAAAGACTGACGGAAAGCCTAGAATGTTTACTCATCTGTGCCCATACCGACAACAGTTGGTCTAGGCTGGACAAGCAACAGGTGCCAGCTGAACAGGTTAGACTTCTGTTAGAGCAATGACATCCCAGATATATGGAGCTGCCTCCTGCTCATGTCTGAACACTGTGTGGTGGGGATTTATGGTGTTTTTTCTAAATAAACTACATGATTTAAACCCATACTGTCTATAAATGGCAAAATAGGCTCCTTGCTGAAAAGTGGGATGAAGCAACCCATGTCATATATCAGTGGTTGTCAACTTATGAACTAAACAGGGCCTCAAATGCAGCCCTTGACATCACCAAAGGGCCCCACATAATGTTCAATATACAGAGGGGCCCAAAAAAAGGTATACACACTTTAACATGAAAAATATATACATAAAAATGTGATTACTAGATTTATATGAACATCAAAGAGTAGCTGTAAGTCATGCTTGAGTTATGCAGTCACATTAGATGCTGAAAGTGGTCACCATTGGCATCCAAACACTTTTCATTTCGGCAAACTACTGCATGAACAACATTGACTAGAGTATCCACACAAATTGCTCTGCATGATGTTTCAATTTCTTCCTGTAGGTCAGTGTAGGTGGTTTTCTATGGTACACCACATCCTTTAAGGTTCCCCACAAACAGAAACTGAGGGGTGTTAAGTCAGAGGAATGTGGAGAGAATTCAACAGCATCTGTACGTCCTATCCAACATCCTGGCAGAATGTCATTGAGATGGGCTCTCGCATCTCGATGGAAGCAGAACTTGTTGCTGTGCGACATCTTCCGGATCTTTGCTTGAGCACATCACACACAGTGCCATGAATTAATGAGATTGTTAGTCGTGTTGGTGGTTCTGTTCCAAACTCACATCGCCATTGTCGTTGAACTTCATACACATTTTAAAATATACAATACCACTTCAAAATGGTCTTTCGTTGCTCGAAAGTCAAACGTACCTCCGCCATTCTCTTTTGCTCTTTCCTGACGGTTACATGATGACATAAACAATGGTGCGACTTCTGACATCTTTAAGGAAAATATAATACTACACATTGCTGCCATAATTCAATTCTGGTTTTAAAGAAGGGCATATTGTAGATAACAACTGTTGAAGTGTGTATACATTTTTTTGGGCCCCTCTGTATGCAGTGCTTACGAAAATTGTCAGAAACTGCAGATTTAATAGAATAAATAAGGGTAGGAGAGTGTGGACATGCTACATGGCTGGCTGGGGATATGCTGCAGAAGATAATATGAGACTGGGAACATTTTACATGAGGCTAGTAGAGATCGATGCTATTATTCTAATCAATGTTCCCACTACAGACTGCTAAGGTCTGAGGACTGCACATAATACAGAAAGAGGCCGCATGCCGGGCTGCAGGTTGGACACCAGGGCCATTTATCCATGTCAATTAATGGCAGAACTTTCATAAAGCACAATGTTATAGCTATTGTTATTTTTACAGTCACATATTAAAATATATGTCAAGGAAGAATGAAAAGCACAAAACAGTACATCTCTGCATTACATGTGCATGCCCCATGTTTTATTCCTGTAAAGACCATGCAAATATAGTAAATACCTGGTGATCTTCTAAAAATGCACCCAGCTCCTAATTTCTTGTTGTGGGCTGATAACACACAGCATTTTGTGGACTAAATTGTGTCAGCCCCACCCAGTTGTCTTTTGCTAAATTAACCACTTGCCTACCGGGCACTTATACCCCTTCCTTACCAGGCCAATTTTCAGCTTACTGCGCTGTCACATTTTGAATGACAATTGCACGGTCATACAACATTGTACCCATATGAAATTGTTATCATTTTTTTCTCACAAATAGAGCTTTCTTTTGGTGCCATTTACTTGCCACTGGGTGTTTTACTTTTTGCGCTATAAACAAAAAAAAAAAAAGCAAAAAATTTGAAAAAAAAAAAAAGTTTCTGTGTTTCTATTATAAAATTTAGCAAACAGGTAATTTTTCTCCTTCACTGATGTGCATTGATGAGGCTGCACTGATAGGCAGCACTGATGGGCACTGATATGCAGCACTGTTGGGCACTGATAGGCAGCACTAATGAGGTGACACGGATAGGTGGCACTGATAGGCGGCACTGATAGGCGGCACTGATGATGGATACTGATAGTCAGCACTGATAGGCGGCATTGCTGGGCATTGACTGGCACAACTGCTGGGTAACGACTGGCACAACTGCTGGGCAGAGACTGGCGGCACTGCTGTGCTGCACTGATTGGCTCTAGTGGGTGGCACTGGTGGGCACTGATGGGTACAGGTGGGTGGCACTGCTGGGAACAGGTGGGTGGCACTGCTGGGCACAGGTGGGCGGCACAGGTGGGTGTCACTGCTGGGCACAGGTGGGCGGCACAGGTGGGCACAGGTGGGCAGAACTGGTGGGTGGCACTGCTGGGCACGATCATCAGGGCACTGATCATCAGTGCCCTGATGATCGGTGCGATCCCTGCTCTGCCAACTGCTGGTTCTCGGCACTACTTTCCTCACGCTCTGACAGCGTGAGGAAAGTGCAGCCAAGAACCGGTAATTGCATTTCCCTGTGATCAGCGTGTCATTGGACATGACTGATCATGTGGTAACAGGCAACTAGATGTCCGCAATCTACCAGTTTGAATGATGGCCGGTGTACTCAGGTGCTCCTGTACCTGCCCTCACCCTGTGACGGTGATGCATCCCAGTGATGAGCCAGACATGTATATTCGTTTGTTGTCTGCAAACTACCCTCTTTACCCCATGTCAGCCTGTGAGGACAAAAATCTGGGAACTACAACTGCTGAATTGTGTTAAAGATTAAATTACCAAGATTGCCAGCAATACTCAGAAATAAGTGTCCTTATTGGTAATCGGACTGAGGATTTTGGTGTTGTAATGTGCTAGTCACTTATCTGCTCTTATTTCTTATTTTATGACAAAAAAAAAAAAAACATACTGTCTACATTCAGGCCTTATTCCATACTAGGCCTTGCATTCTGTTGGGAAGGCCTGTCAGTTCAAAAAAGGAGGGAAAAAAGGGGCAAAGGAAAGCCGGGGAGTCCACCAAAATTCAACGTGAGGTGAGGTGCCTCCAGAACTATCTGGTAGGATGTTGCCTAAAACATAAAAATAGAAAAACCAAAGAAAAAGAAAATTGGCTACACACCTAAAAGGCTAACTTCAAAAACATGTATATTCCTCGAAAGCATACAAAGTAAAAACACATTACATCGGGGACCTGGATACCACTCCTGACCGTGAAAACCCCCACCCCTGACATGGGGGGGACCTTCCACAGTGGGCACTCTATCGATGGTACCAAAAAGTGTCCCAAGTGCCCCAGTATGTACACAAAACCCACCCCTCCCCTGAAAACCAACTCACCTCCCCCAACACCACAACCACCTCTCAACAATCCCCCCAAAAAATGCCCCCAAAATGCCTCCAAAGGTATCCAAACACTCCTCCAACAATGACCCTCCAGCAAATTCACCCATCCATCCATGTCTCCATGCTTTATTTTGCTAAGAAATCACATTGAAAAACACCCCCCCATCATTTCTGGCTTTGGCCATGCTAAGTAATGGTATTAGATTCATGTAGCATTTACTTCCTGGAATTCATCTGCCCTTAGCTCGGGCATGCAGGCAGGAGGGTTTGCTTAGCTAAGAAAACCCCTCCTCCCCTAATGAAGACTCCTGGGATGTATTACATCATTTGCTTAGACATGGAAACCAGGAAGTAACTGAAGAAATGTAAAAAAAAGTTTCAAACAAGTAAATACTGCATTATATACTTTCCTATCTATTTACCATTTTCTAGCAGCATAAGGATTTAAAATAATCAGTGTTGACAGAGAGGGTGAAGTTCCATTTTCAGCTGGAGTTGGCCTTATCCCAATCATCTTATAATCTTCCCTATGAGTCAATCAAGATGGCCATACACTGGCAAATCTTTGGCTGGTTCTGCTGGGACTGTCCAAATGTTATTCAGTGTATGCAGTCCTTACTCAACAGAAGTCAATTGTTTTACCAACTTCCATTGAAGGGACATGTTGGAAAACTTTTTCTCTATCAGCAGCTGCAGATCAGTGTATTCTGACAGCGGCAGATGCAGCTGTCAGAAAACAGTGTCGCAGTTGAGGGGCGCAGAGTGGAATCCTTCATCCTCCTCATTGGCGTGGATGAAGGAATATACTGTTTGTGGGGTTTTTTTGGGTTTTTTTTTGCCCACTTGCCATACGAAAAAAACAACAGTGTATGGCCATCTTTAGGCTGTCCAAAACTGTGGCAACTAATAGGAGACATGCAGGAATGGGTGGACTCAAACTCAACCTTTCCAGGTAAAGTTGAGATTTGCATGTAACTTCAGCTGTTTTTATCTCTGGATACTTAGATGATCCTGACAAATGGTTTTCTTTGAAGGTATCTTGTAGGTATAGAAACAGGAATGGTTTACACTCAAGATAAAGTCCAACTGTATACTTCTTTATTATGAAAACATGTACAAGGCTAAAACAGCCAACATGTTTCGGACAATTAGTCCTTGAACCATGGCTAAGGACTAATTGTCCGAAATGCTTTGGCTGTTTTAGCTATGTACATGTTTTCGTAATAAAGAGGTATACAGTTGGACTTTATCCTGAGTGTTGGCCATTCCTGTTTCTATTCTGATCTGTGGGGGCATCTACAGCTTCCAGGTCTGCTTTCACCACGCAATATGTCAGATAATGAATTTTTGGCAGCATAAATGTTTGTTCCAACTTAGCAAATAATGCTTGTTAAGTGCTCACTTCCTTTCAAATCACAGGACAAAATGGCTGCCTGGGGACTGTTTCATAAAGTTATCAACATGATATAACATCCTTTCCCAACAAACCTCTGGAGGATTCAATGAGTAAACTGTAGCAGTCCATCGAGTTGTATGTTTATCACTATTGTGTATATATATATATATATATATATATATATATATATATATATATGCATGCAACATTATAAAACATTTCATAGAATACTGCATAGAAATGTGCTGTATTCCATCTTAGCTCGTTAACAGGCTGCTGAATTTTTAAACCTGGAAAAAGTGGCATTTATGTAAAATGATTAACAGCCCAAACACATTTAATACAGCCCACGTTGCCTGTATTCGAGTTGGGGTAATGTTAGACATGTTCTGTTTTTATGAATGTCATTTTTCAGAGATCCCCCCTGAGTATCTTTAAGATAGGATCCCATTAACTGTTATTGCCAGGAGTTCAACATATCCGCTGAGTCGCAGGTGTATAAGGCTATTAAAAGTATAATAGAGGCTTTGAAGGAGGTTGAAAAAAGTTACACAAATAAACTCTTTCTGTGTGTGCCAAAACCTGTGTTCAGAGTTCCCTGGAGATCCCCCACGGCCTTTTGTGCTGCAGTTTGATAGGACCCAAGGAGGATAAAAGCCAGACGGTACAGAACTTAATATATAAAGCAGATTTCACATCAGGTAACATAAAGCCATCAATAGACGGTTAAGCAGTTTAACAGTTGATATTCTTGTGCTGTTTTCCAAAGCTGTGTTCTGAAAGGCAGTCAACCATCAGAAGGAACAGGAATTCCTCAGACACAGCATGGCTCAATGACTTTGTGCAGGACCAGAAAGCCTTACACCTTGAAGACGCTTTTTAAATTCAAGGCCGGGTTGGAACAAGCGGCTGAAAGCCATCTTCACCTGACAGGACTTTGAAGGCACTTGTGAAATGAGTTGGTGGTCCCAATTTATAAAGAGCGGCACAGTGCATTAATGTTCGCTGTTAAACGTGTGGGTGTTGCTGTTAGCTGACAAACTGATTAGATACGTGTTGGACAAGAAATAGCATACTTTACAGATCTGTACGCACTGCTGAAGGCAGCCTAACGCACTTGAGAACTACTGATGCTTGTAGAGAGAATATGAGACTTTGGAAGATCTCGCTCAAGCTGCCTGCCAGGTTGCACTTAGACAAAATTAAATTTTCTATCTGTATGGATATTTATATGTATTTAAGGTCAGGGATGCGTAAGCGCAAGAAAATACACCAAAAGGTTTGTAGAAATTTGACCATCATACCCACTATATGGCCAAAAGTATGTTTCATGGTAGATATAAGGTGCCTATTGAAAGGTTTAGTCCAGAGTGGAGCTTTCGCTGGGAGTTGAGGCATAGTCTGGCAGGCCAGGTGAGCAACAAGTCTTGAAAGCAAGGTACAAAATCAGAATCTAGAAGCATGGTCGGAGACAGGCAGGGTCATGCACAGACTGGCAGAGTGACGCAGAATCATCAGGCAAAGTAAGTGGTCCAGGAATCAGGCAAACGTCCAGGAGTCCAATAGTTCAGTAGTATAGCACACACACAGGAAAACAGATCCAACAAACAGCACAGTGTACAGGAGATCCCGCAATTTTAGCTGAGCTGATCGTGGATTGACTGCAACTAGAAGGCAGGTGGAGCTAGAGCAGGGGTGGGCAAACTTTTTGACTTGAGGGCCGCAATGGGTTCATATATTGGACTCGGGGGCCGGACCAAGAGTAGATGAATGATGTGTATGTGTCATCCATAGTAAGTATAGTAATATTCCCCCATAGTAAGCATAGTAATTAATCCCCCATATAGTAATTCATCCCCCATAGTAATTCATCCCCCATATAGTAATTCATCCCCCCTATAGTAATTCATCCCCCCTATAGTAATTCATCCCCATAGTAATATTCATCCCCCATATAGTAATTCATCCCCCATAGTAATTCATCCCCCATATAGTAATTCATCCCCCATAGTAATTCATCCCCCATATAGTAATTCATCCCCCATATAGTAATTCATCCCCCATCCCCCATATAGTAATTCATCCCCCATAGTAATTCATCCCCCAAAGTAATTCATCCCCCATATAGTAATTCATCCCCCATATAGTAATTCATCCCCCATATAGTAATTAATCCCCCCTATAGTAATTCATCCCCCCTATAGTAATTCATCCCCCCTATAGTAATTCATCCCCCATATAGTAATTCATTCCCCATATTAATTCATCCCCCATATTAAGTCCCCAAGTCCCCCTGTGTCAATTCACTTACCTTTGCTCCGCGCGTTCCTCTCGCCGTGTTCCCGCGCCGTTCTGGTGTAGCATGAAAATCTGTCTCCTATGAGGATCTGTCCCCCTCGACGTATCTGCGCATGTGCCGGAGATCACAGGGAGATCGCAGGCACAGGGAGAACATGCAAACTCCAGGCAGGTGGTGCCATGGTTGGGATTCAAAACAATGACCCTAGTACTGCCAGGCAGAAGTGCTATCCATTTTGCCACTGTGCTGTGGTATATGCTCAGATTCCCAGTGGCAGAGCAAACAGAGCCAAAGTACAGAGGCAGAAGAACCCAAGTTCAAACCCAAGCATAGGACAGTAGATTTCAGGTGTTTTCAGTGATGGTTGCTGTTAACATGGAACTATATTCAACTCCACATCAGCAATGTTGTGTCTAGGAGTTGCCTGCAAGCTGCTGTCATCTTCTTCCCAGGATTCCTCTTGGTTCTGTCCTTGAGCCATTTTAATTG